AGAAACCGCTTCACGGCCAGCATCCCAAGATCATGGATAAACCATCGATCGACTCGGACGTCAGCTATAACTGGCTGAAGAAGGGACTGCTGAATGCCGAGACAGAGAGCAACATCCTAGCCATTCAGGACCAGTGCATTAGAACTCGTAACTACGAGAAGCACATCCTGAAGCTGGATGTGGAAGACCGCTGCAGATGCTGTCATGGACCACCGGAAACGGTTCACCACCTCCTCAGTGCCTGCCCCGAACTAGCCCCAAGGGTGTACCTAACCTAACCTAACCTAACCTAACAGACACGACCAGGTGTGCAAATATGTGCACTGGTGTGTCTCCAAGCAAGCCTGCCTGGAAGTCCCAGAGAAGTGGTACGAACCCCAGCCAGAGTCTGTCGTGGAGAACTCCTCTACCAAGATACTATGGGACATGCCTATAATTACAGACCGCAGTATAGGCTGCAATAGGCCGGACCTCACGATCTATGAGGAGAAGAAGACCGCCCTCCTCGTAGATGTGAGCATCCCAGCTAATAACATCCTCCAAGAGAAGACCAGGGGGAAGCTGGAGAAATACTCCGAACTGAAAGTGGAAGTAGAACAGTTGTGCGGGATGAAGACCACCATAGTTCCGATCATCATAGGCACAACTGGCGTCGTCCTGAAAGACCTCAAGGGACATGTCAGGAAGCTGGAGTGTGAAATCTCACTCGATATTCTCCAGCGTACAGCAATCTTGGGCACGGCCAGCATCCTTCGCCGTGTCCTTCAGAATTAGGCGAGTATGAGGTCTGGGATGTGGTTCATCCCCCTTCATATCTCCAATACCGGCAGGTGCCGTGGAAGGATTTATTTATTTATGAATAGTAGGGGGAGGAGCACGAAATGACCAACGCAAAGAGGGTGGAACTATGAATTCATTCCGCGACGTTTCGGCAAGTCAATGCCTTTCTCAAGGGGAAGTATGCTTACAAGGTACATTCTTTACCCTTAACGAAGGGATTGGAAAAAGATATAATGAGTCAAGTAGGAGAAGTCTTTGTTGAACCCCGACGTGTGAGTTCTCCATTGATCTTTTTGAGTTCTTCCAATCGTCTTTGTTTCATATCCATGAGATCCCCTGCAATAATATCCACCATCATGTCTTCAATAGAGTGGGACGCTTGGCCGAAATGCTCCGCCACAGGTAGGTTGCAAATTCCCCGTCTGACACTACTTTTATGATTGTTGAAACGGAGACGGAAAGAAATTTCCGTTTCGCCAGCGTAGCGCTTGCAAGATATGGAATAAATGACATGGGATGAATCACAATTGTACTTCCCTGGTTCGGAAGGGAAGTGACGGCACACCTTACATCGTTACATCGTGGCTTTTTGCAAGGAGCTCCACAATTCCTTGACGAGGTCGTAGGTAGAGGATGGGAGGCTCGGACCAAATGACCTTTTATATTCGAAGGGTGGCGATAGGTGTGAGAGGAGGGGTGGGAAAAACTTCCACGAGATCTTCATCTCTTTGCAGGATGTGGAAATGACACTTTAAAATTCTGCCAACAAAAATCAGAGATGGATGGAACGTCAGAATGCATGGTATACGGTCCAAGTCATATTTCTCTTGATATTGCAAGAGTTCCTCCCGAGAGTAGGTGTTAGCTTTTGAAAAAGCCCTCTGAATCACATTCTTGGAAAATTCACGCGACTGAAGACAACTTGATAAATTCCCCAACGACGCAGGTATGTCCTCTGTTCTTTGCAAATTCTCTTTAGCCTGAGTGCTTGGGCATATGGGATGGAACATTTCAAATGTTGAGGATGGGAACTCCGATAGTGTGGAAGTGCTCCTGCATCAGTGGTTGCATCACCCTATGCGTTACGGGATTATTTTTTAAGATTTATTGTAGCGGTTTTAGGTTTCACATGACCTAAATGTTGCCAAGGAACGCCTGAATTTTCCCCCAGATTTTTGCATGCCTGCTGCTGGTTGAACCAGGCGTGTGTTTCTGAACACCTCTGTGACTGTAAGGGGGGGGGGGGGGGAAACAAAACAAGGAAACACTCCACGTATATTTAGAAGTAAACCTCACTAGATGGAACCCATGTTCCCTGCACCCTACAAATGCAATTAAGTACCTGCTTTCCTGATATAGGATATGGTTTTCCTCCCATCTTTCCTCTTCTTATTGTGCTATTTATAAACATACATGAGGAAAACGTGGAAGTACTATATTTTTATTACAATATATGACTCAGGGAAATATTAAATGTTGAAGTTAAGTATGGGAATAGGGAAGAGTAGAATTAGAAGAAACTATTCGCATTTGCTAGAGGTTCCTTGTCTGATTGACACAGACAAGGCACTTCTTAAAAAAAAAAGAAGAAACTTCAGCTTCAGGGACCTAATTGAGTTACAAGTCTCCTAGCGAAGCCTATCAGTGAGCAAGACGTGAAGACTGGAGAAAGAATCCGAATACGAATGATCACACTTACCCCGACGCCAAATTTTCTGGGGTAAGTGTGATCAATCTTCCTGTGTCCAAGCTTAGCATGAATGGGACTCCAAAAGGCACTGGTTGGAAAGTGCATTGGTATCTACTTTCCCATGATACAAAAAATGAAATTTTATTCTGCAGTACTGATCGTACAAGGAAAGTTAAATGAGGTGCGTCGAATTAAGTACTATAGTTAAAAGAGGGTACTCTAATATTCAGTGAAATAACTAAGTTGATCCAATTTAATTTGTCGAGATATACAGGGTGTCCCATAAGTCTGGAACCATAGGGCAAAATGATGATAATGACTTGTATTCACAAAATGTGTTCAATGTGTCCACCATTATGATTGATACACAAATGCAGACGAGGTATCCAGTCAGCAATCACTTCGAATGGTGTCAGGAGTGGTGGTGTTACATGCGTCGATGATGATGATGCAAGAAACGAAAAAATCATGAATCATTTATTTTACCCTATGGTTCCAGACTTATGGGACCTGTTTGGACCAAGTCTACCCATGCATTTTTGAGGTTCTGGATGAGCTGCTTGCAGCTTATGGCATGTTTCATCTTCTTCATCTCCTCCTTGAGAATCTGCCAGAGATTTTCAATGGGATTTAAGTCAGGACTGTTGCCTGGTCACTGACTCTTCCCCCAGAATGCTGGCAGGTTCTTCTGACACCATGCAGTGGTGGCTTTGGAAACACGACAAGGGGCATTGTCATGCATGAAGATGGCCTTTGACCTTTTTTCAACAAAGTAATGCTCCAGAATTGATCCTCCTGTGACCATCCTGTTAAAGACATCAAGGCAGGGCTTTTGGAAGAAGTTTTCCATATAATGAATTGTGCTCATGAACTGTGTTGGTGGGATCACATGGAACTCTGAGTATGCCTGAGAGAACATTCCCCACCCTATGATCCTTAGTGGGTGCTTGACTGTGGTGACGGGGTGGGGGGAAGACACAGTTCTTGCTCTAGATCGTATCACACTGTGGGTTGAATGGCAGGAAAAGCTGAAGCACAGACTCATCTGATCATACATACGTTTCAGTCTTCACAGGTCCAGTATTTGTAGGCCTACTCCACAGCAAACTTCAGATAATTCTTCTTCATGGCGTCCATAGGAAGGAGCTTCTTTGGCCTCTTGTAGGCCTTGACACCAAGATCATTTTAAAGATAGCATTGGACTGTCATGAAAGACCCTTTTTGGCCAATATTCTTTAATCTGGAGGTCATTTTCTTACTGCACATGTCTCTTTTTCCGAGAATTTTGAATCAAAGGGAGATACTTTAAAGCATACATTTTGATTTGCCACTTTTCTTTGAGTTTATGCTTTTATATTTATGGGAAGGTTAGTGAATTTTAGCTTTTTTCAAATTTAACTGCTTCTGTTTATTTTATATTTAGTTTCTTTGCTAGTTTCCAATTCAATTTTTTCCTTGTTATAAAATATATTCTTGACGTGAGCATATCAGAGTTCTACCGATAACATGCAGAAAATGACTATAAATTTGCATCAGTTCATTTGAAGGAAAAAAATTGTTGAAGTGTTCAAGCCTCCAGACATTTGTCTTGGGAAGGTTCCAAAGTGTGCAGAATGACAGTTTTCTACTCTTCGTGAGCCTGCTTGTTACTTGTATTTACAGAGAGGCCAGGGATGGTGGAGACAACAGCACTTGGGGCAGCAATCATGGCTGGCATGGCTGAAGGAGTGAACGTGTGGAAACCGAAGCCTTCCAGTGAAGTGACTCACTCAGATGTCTTCCATCCAAAGTTCACTGATGATGGTGAGTCAATTGTCATTCTCCTCTTCCACCAGAACTTCAAGATCAACATAACTAAGACCCCAGAACTTGGTTGAACATTGCTTCTTGTTCTTATAAAGCAAAACTAAGTCTGTCAATTGTGAGATCTGTCAAGTAGGTATGACAGATATATCCATAATATATATGATATGACTTTCCACCTTATACACATAGCACCCTTTTACAATATAAACCTTCTCAGACCTGAGTAAAATATAAATAAAAGCCATAGGATTTGGTACCTGCACATTGCTTCTCGAATGAATTCACCCTCTAAAGTAGGGAAGGGCAGTGATGGTTTGCGACACGAGTGACATCTGTTTTTCATCCAAGGAATAGTCATGGTAAGATGTTACTAGCGTTCGCGATCCCAACCAATCACTTTAATCCGGAATACGGATAACTCGAAGAGGCTCCGCTAAAAACGTAATCCAGCTACGTCTCATGAACGAGACACAATGGGCAGGAACAAGGTGTCATTTAATCAAGTTCTAAGTTAGTGAGCCTTGGGGAATACCCAGCACCTATGTAAGATGAGGTCATGTCATCAACGCAACCGCGAAATTTATCAATATCCTAGAGAGGTTAATGTATCGTAAATTGCATTCTATGGAGGATACACTATATTTTCAAGCCACCAATTTGTAGTCGTCTCAATGAAAGATTTGAACGGCAGGGGATTTAAACGTTATCTTCTTCTATGACGCTCTTCTGAGTAGCTTGGTCTGCGAATGAGAGCAATATTCATATCCCCTTAATCGCAGTCAACAGGGTGATTGGAAAATTATTAGCCAGCGCTGAATTAATTCATTTGAACCAACACAAATGAGAATGGAGATGGAAAAATGAAAAGGAGCAACTTAATATTATGGAAATTAGCAGTCAATTTCTTTTGACTGAAAGGCTGCATTATAGCTTGGCAGAATTGATGTTGACCTGCTTCCGTAGAAAGCTTCCTGCATCAAAGAAAGATCTGGAATGCTCTGCAGATTTGCATTTCTTGAGAGTCGATAAGCTCAACACTCACATATAAGGACAAGTTGATCCTTTGTGCTTGGCTTCATGTTCCTGATGGAATGCTGTGAGAAAAAGAATCATGAAGCTCATTGCTCAAGACCTATTTCCATTCCTTTTCCTTCGACTATATGATACAGATGAATCAAAAAACACAGGGATAAGAGTATAGATACCTTGATATGGTGGAAAATGTCCTCGTTTGGATTGAGAAAAGGGGAGGAGGGAGTAATCAACGAGAACAAAAACGAATGTCCGAAGCTTTCGATGCTATCCCTGCCATTGGCATGGAATTGCACGTTGTCCATAATTACGCTTGCTTCCTCCACAATGTTTCTGCCGAATCTCCATCGAACATGAAGATTTGAGGTAATTCATCCATATAAATGAACCTTGGGGGCTCCAGTTTCTCTCATGAGGAATATGAGGAGATTGCGCGAACCTGTGTAGTTCATCTCAAAATTTGGTCAAAAGAAAGTATCTCATCATTAACATGTGTTTACCTCTTCTCAGTAGCTTTACCTCCTCCCTTCGGGTTTATTTCTCCTGACAGGAAACTCATCCAGAACCTTGTAGGTGACCTTATGTTTCTTTAGGATTGTCGGTATTGACCATTTCCTGCAGGCTTTCTTCAAGAAACGATCAATCGAATTTATTGGAGCTGTAAATTTCTCATTAGAGACATATAAATCTCACAATCCTAGCTTTCTCTCATCCCACAAACAAGACAACTGCAGGCGTGAAAAGTGCGGTCAGAAAGCGTACCCTCAGAAACAAATAATTTTGATGACGGACTGCTTCCACTAGTGCCATCTGTTGCTCATCCGAAAGCTTCTGTTTCCGATTTTCCGTTTTTCTCCTTCCCAAGTCCAGTTTTCTCAAAATTATGGAAAATCGACCTAACTGATTTTCAGCTCACGTCCAGCTCCATCGAGATGATCTGATTGGATTTCCTCTACTGATTGTGTTTTCTGATGATTTCCTCAAATTCTCATCCATGCGCAAATAAGTTGTATTTCGCGGCATGACTTCGTAGGAGTCTGACGGAAAACTGGGAAAGACGAATATGCATTCCCTTACCCGTAGTGCTCGAAACGGCAGGAGATGCAGGAGACATCGATGTTGTCGACGTCAGTAATGGCAATTAACCTCTAGATAGTTACATGATCTGTTCATCCGTCATAAGAAAGCATGGTAAGCTATAGGAACCCGTAGTAAGAGAGGCTTGAATTCATTCGATAAACAATTATAGCATTTACCATCCATTTCAGGAGGATTTTCTCCGTTATCTTGCAAGGAAGGCAGGTTAGAGAGATGGGCGAAGATCATTCAAACCCTTGGGTGGGGAAGCGCCCACCAAATTCGGAATTCGGAATTGGGATTATTATCGCAGACATCCACAAATCATGCCCTTGCCCGGACTTGAGCGATGAGTAGATGTCCGCGAGAGGAACTGCAAGCTCTGGGGTAAATTCTTCGCAAATTCGAGTTGGCATGGAATAATGACCGGGTGAAGATGAGGCCTTTGCATTTTTCAGTTCCTCCAGTACCTCCAATGGAGAAATGTTGAGAGGGTTGAGGGCAGGAAAACATCGTGGGGAGAAAGGTTCTGTCTAAGGTTGGTAGGGCAGTGCATGGTGTCGAAAGGAGGGAATTAATGGTGTTGGCAGTGACAATAGCCTGATTGCCTGCAGTTCGTAATTTTAGGTAAGTTGGGGTCATTGCAGGGAATGCCGCACATACTCTTTATCTTCGCGTGGCATTTTTGGGGTCTGTCTTTCTTCACTCTGTCATGGAAGAGTTTTAGTTTTGCTGCGTGAATTGTTCGTTTGACTTTGTTAGCCAAAAAATGGCACTCTATTAGACTGCCAGAATAGAACATCTGCTGGTGGAGGGGGGTGAGACGCTTGATATTCCCATTCATCCAGGGCTTGTCGGTTGAGTTCACACGTGCCGTTAGGAGGGGGAATAAGTGATCAATTTGTTGTTGTAAATTACTCGTGAGGATGTGGACCTTTATGTTGACATCGGAGACTTCGATTACTTCTGTCCATGGTTAACGTAAGATCAATTTCCAAAGGTTCGGATGGATGAATCTGGGAAGCGGCGAAAGAAGATGGTCTTGATCATTTTCGGAGGGGGCATATTGTCGAGGCGTCAACCAAAGAGCAGTGATCGCTGTTTCCTAGTGGTGGGCGGAGTTAAGGCATGCAATACCTTGGGCTCACGTCGCTGAGGATAAGGTCAAGGGTGGCATGGAGGCGAGTAGTTGTTCAAGTCCGCGATCGCCTATGATGGGTTCAATAACTAGGTCTTTGAAATCGCCAGCTAGGAGGAACTTATCTGATGGGTGTTTCGCACGAAGATGGTCGACAGTAGTTTTGATGTGGTCAGTCAATGCTGTAATTTCGCGGCCGTACCCATACAATTTCCAGGTCCTCGGTTGTGTCATCGATACGGAGGAGCAGGAAGGGAATGTTCTCAATGGCAAATATATTAGCTGCATCACCTTTTTTTCCCCCTTTGTCTTATTGTATGGTGATAGGCGTGGTATCCATTTGGAAGAGTAGCAGGGGAAGCTAGACCATTGGTTTTGTCGCAGACAAGTCTCAGTGACGATTGAGATGAAGGATCTTAGTTGACTTATCTCTTAGTGGAATTCGAGAAGTTGTGGAAAATGGGTATTGCGTTTGCCATATTAAAGCTCGGTGAGCAACGGATGCCATTCCGTCTTCCACTTCGTTTTCGAATTCTAAGGGACTTGAGTCGGAGGTGATGATTACCCTCTAGGTTATTAGGAGGCACTTTCGACCAAGGCATGTCAGGAAGCTCTTGGTAGTATTGGAGAGGGAGCTGAGTTGATAACAATCTTCACATTCCTTGGTAACAACGGATTCTCGAGGTCACACTGATTGGGTTGGTCTGGACAGGTGTTTGACCCACGCAAAAGCACCGAGGCAAGGGCACACATGCATATGAAGCAAACTGGATAAGACAATCACGACCGAAAGTCGAGAAGCAGAAGTGGTGTTGAAAAATGTAGGTCGTCGGCCACTAGTTCACCGAGATTCATTGACAGAGAAGGGGATATGCGGTTGATGGTTGGGATGATGAATGGAGTCGGAAGCCAAATGAAGGGATAAGTCCAGAATAAGGAGGCTCGCATGAGATACGGGTGCACTCCCGTGCCTCCCGAAGGCAGGAGGAAGGGAGAGAAAAGAATATGGGGACAAGGGGTACGCAAAGGCGATCACAAACAGGAAGGTCGGACGAAAAATTCAGGTGCACGGCAGCCGGTCAGGGAGCCATCTTTAACGAGGCAAAAGGGAAATTATGGTGCATTATTGGCAATCGATGCTTCTGAAAAACTTCAAATGTTGAGGCTTCGTATGAGTACAGGGAAATGTAAAGATAGAGTATATGATTCTTGACTCAGCGGACTCGTTATAATTCGTCCATCCTGACGTGACACCCTCCATTTAGAATTTTAAACATATATTCTCAGTTTGAATATTAGTTTCTGGTCATAATATGCTGATGCCTGGTAAGAAGTGGCAGGAGATTAAGCTTGCAGAGCCCACTCTTGTCAGAAATAGTGGGTCAGAAGCCATAGCATGGCTGAAGGTGTGCCGCATACGTGCTACTTTGGTCTTTACCTATGTTCCTGCTTGAATATGTACAAGTACTTCAGGATAGCCTTTCAGGTTCTTACTAGTTCATGGAATTAATTTGCGCTGAGAACCATCCAGGTTCCAACTGACTTGTGAATGGATTGGAGCTGGGAAATTACTCAGGTTCCTACAGGTTCATGAATTGAATCCAATTTGTTTAAAACTTAGATGAGACCACCTCACATGAACACCACACGATCCACCATGCGAATCGAACTGGGATTTTGACCGGGTGTTGTTCTCTGCTGCCTGTTTTCAATCTAATAATTGATGGGCTGAAAGGCAAAGTGGTCTATCTGCAAAAAATTATTTCCTGGAGCTCCACACGAAATGAGTGTGTTCCAGTGACCATCATGTTACATTTGAGACAAAGTGGTGTATCGATAGATCACTTCATCCTTTACTTAATTCCAAAAAACTATAATTTTCTATGAAGGGAACAAGGTCCTATACTCCCAAAACCAGCGACACTTTTTTCGAACATTTTTTGCAGATAGACCACTTTACCTTTCAGCCCTTCAATTAATCTGAAAGTTTCAAGCATTCTGTATTCGTTTTTGAAATGTAGGAGGTTCCATCGATTTTGAGTTCGGCCATTGCAGAGTATTGCTTACATAATCAATTTGAATGAATTTGACTTGAACAAAATTATAAAGTTGAAGTGAAAAAATGAAGTTACATTTTCATTAAATTTGGTGAGATGTGTTCCAAGTTGTCCTGAGATACAGTGACCCAAATAATGGATATGGAAATTATGGATATACTTGTGCAAGATGTGGCGAAAAAGACCAGCATCTTTACCCAACATTTGAGCTATTTTCATGAAACTTTCACTGTGCTTATATTATATGGATATTGTTTCAACATATCTTCAAAGCATATCCCAAATTCATTGCTCTAAAGTGAGGCAATGATCAATTTCTAAAAATAAGGTTGATGATATAAATGGACAAGAGCTCATGTTGATAATGAAATGGACATGCCCTGCTTCTGTGTCATCCAGTTCACATTCATTTTTTAGATTGACCTTTTATTGTGGACTGATTGGAATAACACTTATCAAAACGATGACTGGTAAATAAATAAATTCAAAGCAGAGAGTTTACTCAAAGTTCATTAAGATTTTTCCAAAAGAAATGTCTCCACCCAAAAGTTTCCCTTGGTCTTTATCAGAGAACAGGGCAGGAAGGCAAGGTGCTTAGGAGGTATGGCAGCCTCGCTCTCCATTCTAAATTTCTAATTTGTTTAGATTAATTGCTTATTGACTTACATTGACAATTTCAATATATGTCTAGAGCATGTAAATCTATCCACAATACAGGTTTCCTGAAAATAACTTCAGTGAGAATGATGTTGTACAAGTTAAACTTTGTTGGCTTTTTTTTTTTTGCCATACCCAGTACATGGATGTTCCCTGGTGAATCCTTCCTCCCAAGTCTGGTATGGTAGCCCAATAGATATTACTTAAGCATTGTATGCTCTTAGCTGAAAGTTTAAGTTCTAAATCTGTTGCACTTTATTTTTAGTATGTTTTGAGAGGTGTTAAAATAGGGAAAACAGAGTACATTCATGAAGAGCTCAAAATTGAAGAAAATAGTGCATCTGCAGCGATGTTATCACTTCCCATATGTGCAGTCTTAAAAATGGACAGAATTTGCATTCTCCTCACAGAGCTTCTTGCCTGCATATGATGTATACTTTTACTCGTAATTCTTTCTTTTCCTGTGCTTGTCTTGTTCCAAGAGTGAAAATGCCATCAAAATATGTATATGACTTCCTTATCAAAATCATACCATCAGCTTGTGGATAAACTGTTTACTTATAAAGCTATATAATAAAAAAAATAGTTGCATTATGAACTTGTCATCTGATTTTTTTGTTGTTGTTGAAGGTAATGAAGACCTAATTTAGTTTGAGTCAGTTGTAACATAATTTCAATGGTACATTTTGTAATGCTGATTTTCAATAGCACATATACCTTTCAACTTCCAATTCATTGATCATTTGGATTAGCTGTGATGTAAGCCCATGCCTGCTTTGGTTGGTGGACAAGGTTGTGTTCCTAGGGTCTCTCATGAAACTTTGCTATCACACAAATCATAAACTCTTCTCTGTCCCTGTTAACTCCATCCAGAGCGAGACATTCTCTATGAACAGTGGAAGGTGGCAGTGGAGAGGAGCTTTGGCTGGGAGAAGTACGGAGAGAAGAGGAAATCAGGGACAAAGGGGGCCATCCCTGGTAAGGTGCCTGCATGAGTCATGACCACCTTCATTCTTGCATGGTATGATTCAGATCATCTCTCCTCAAAGAACCTCTCATCTAATTGCTACTTCCCTCTCTCATTTTCTCTTTCATCTGGGTAACATTTGGTGTTCCAGATCCCACTTTTTTTTTCCTATGCTGCCAGGTTCATGTGTCACTTATCCCTCATTTTAACTTTGCTTGTACATGGGGACCTTTTCACCAGATTATGTTTATTTCATTTCACTTGTTGCAATTTGCTGCCAAGGGAATTCTGTGGAGTCCATGGTAATTTGACATACCACATATCATATACATTTGAGTAAGTAGAACCTTTATAAGTATTGAAGGTGAAGGAAGGGGAATATACTCATTGCCAAAAAAAAAAAAGTTGAGTTGAGTGATTTGTTGAAACTTGGTACACAAGCTGTATGTGCATCATACAAACTGTGCATCATGAAATTGATTGGAGTTTCAAGGACATAGATTGAATATTTACAGAGAAATTAGCAAAACATTCCAATTTAAGGGGGAGAAGGGTTCATCCTAATTGCCCAAAAGGAATTTTTAACTGAGGGCCAATTTCTGTATTTCCAACTGAGGGCCAGCTGGAAATTATAGCTGTCTCCAACTCAGATTTTAAGCTTGGGGAGGTGGGTTCGAAATCAAACTTTTGGCAAATTACTATACATAGCTAATATTTCATGTAAAATATAATGGATGCATTAAAAATTAGTTGCAGAGGCATCTGAAGGTCTAAAGCCCTCATGTGTAACAACCTCATGGAGTGGTGTATTTTACAGGGAGGGGGGAGAGGGGTGCGGCTGCCCCCTGGCATTCCAAGGATAGGGCTTGGCTGCTGCCCTGTCCCCCCTGGCTTTTTAACTAAATACACTACTGACCTCATGCTATGTTTTACTTACAACCATAAGACTTTTCTATGGATATTCACCACATATCAAAGATAACGCCATTTTTCCATCATACTTAATATTGCAATACAGGTAAAATATACTATACATCATACAATTGTTAATATATGAATACATATATGATGGTATATGCCAAATATATGATCATACATGACCATATAGAATCATACACCCTGTCATATTTGGAATTTTCATGGAGGGTCCATTGGATCCAAAAAAGGTAGTTACAGGGTTAAATCTAGTTAATACTGTAGAATGAAATCATATTGTAAAGGAATCAAGCTTGTACTCCTCCGCCTCTATAGGATCATGGGAAAATTATATTTTATGGAGAGCTTCAAATGAAATTACTTAGTCATTTATTTTCTTTCTTGTGGGAGACTCATTATGAAAGTGCATTTATAACCTGAGAATCCAACATATATCATGAGTATCTGGTGGAATGAGCATGTTCATGTCAAATGGCGGAATATATATCTAAGCCTGATTACAAATTCATTAAAATTTTCAATCTAGGCTTCATGCATTGCTGTAATGGTAAAGACAGTTTCTAGCAATCCACCCCTGATCACATTTAAGGAGCAAGATTCCTTGAATTCAGAGAAGACTGTCATTATTCCTTTTAAACATGATTTCTGAGATCTCAGCAGGCCTGTCATATTGTATGATGTGTAGACAAATTATGAAAGTGTGCTGTTTTGCTTAACTTCTCAAGTGTTTTTTAAGTAATAGTATGCATATGTTGTACACCAGTGCACAAGGACATTCCACTAAAAAAATTTATCACAGTATAGACATGGCTACTAGAATGGCAACACTTAAAGAGTTAAGTAACTGAAAGTTATGGTTGCATGTTTTTTCGTTCTTCAGATTCAAGATATTATCTGCTTGCATCCCTTCCCCCATCATGGTTCTTCATTTCCGTGGTGGCATTTCTTGTGATCGCTCATGAACTACGTAGGTGATCATGTGGAGTTGTTCTATTCATATGTACCCACCTCCCATAAGTTGAAGCAGTGGGTTCCAAGTTCCTGCCAGACAAGGCATTAGAGCAGCTTATGTGATATGTGACATTTTTCATCCATCTCCTTCCTTGTCCCATGAATAAATTCCTGATGAAAAAATAGCCTTCTCATTCAGTAATATTGGAGTGTCTGTGACCTTTCCTCAAAAGCCATGGACACTCCTATAAATGTATGAACCAAATGAATAAAAATGACGGGCAAAGTAACTACAGGCAACTGACATGAATGCTGAAAAAGTTGCTTTGCCATAAGACACTGGAATCAAAGGAGATACTTCATCTAAAGGCAAATAAACTTGTACAACTGTGTGATGAAGTTTTTTAAAGTTTTAATGTCATAAGGTGGCTCTTGGCAAAGAAAACTCACAAAACACTCAAATGTTGGTGGATGAAGCATAAGGGAAATATAGACAACCATTTGTAGTCGGTTTCATATGCTAATGCAGGTAATACAGGGTGTCCAAAAAAAATGTATACACACTTTATCAGCCCATAACTCAGTAACCTTTTCTCTTTTTCAGTTGCAAGTTGGTTGTAATAATGCAAAATGCCAGACTTACATTTGAGCAGCGGAAATTTTTGTTGAAGTGGTATTGGAAGTCGGAAAATATCAACAAAGTCCAGAGACAGTTTAGGTGAGAATACCACACAGAACCACCAATGCGTCTCACAATTTTGCGTATTCGAGATAAGTTTGAAGCGGATGGCACTGTGCAAAATGTACACAGGTAACGATCTGGAAGACCTCACACATCCACGAGCCCCACGAGATCACAAGAGGTGCTGGAACTTTTCCGAGAAACACCAAGGAAATCTGTCTGACAAGCTGCTCGTGAAACGGCAATCCCAAAATCCAGGGTGCATAACATTTTAAAGCGTGCAAAATGGAAAAGCTACATTCCAAGATTAGTGCAGGCCCTGAATGAAGATGATCCTGATCGTAGGGTTGAATTTTGCGAGTGGTTTTTATCAAATTTTGCAGAGGATGCACTGTTTGCCAATAAGATCATTTGGAGTGATGAGGTAACATTTAAGTTGAAAGATACAATTAATCACCACAATTGTTCGTACTGGGCAACCGAGAATCCACATGTTACTGAGGAACAACATGTGAATTTACCGGGCATTACAGTGTGGTGTGGATTATCATCCTTGGGTTTGATTGGACCATTCTTTTTTGATGCAACTGTTACTGGTGCCGTGTACCTCCCCATTTTCATCGCGATGTTAGGGCTTATCTGGATGAAACTTTCCCAAACAGATGGATTGGACGAAGAGGCAGTGTTGAGTACCCTCTGCGTTCACCAGATCTAATGCCATTAGATTTTTATTCATGGGGATACCTCAAAGATAAAGTTCATGCCACAAAACCAACAACTATCGCTGAATTACGGCAAGCTATTGAAGCAGAATGTGCAGCAATATCAACAGATATCTTAGGTGATGTATGCACTTCAGTTTCTCGACGATGTCAACAATGCCTGGATGAGAATGGAGGACATTTTGAACACTTCCATTAATGCATAATTGTTTCTCACATTTTTTCTTCATTATAAAATAATAAAATTGAATTTATGAAATTAAACATAGAAGTAATTAACAAAGTGTGTATACATTTTTTTTGGACACCCTGTATAATTGAGAATTCAGGAGTAAATGTAGGAGTGAGAAGTGCTATCACTGAGAGCAGTTTCACTAACTTGACTAACTTAACTGAAGTCTGTTGAGGAGACACTCATTGCAAGGGGAGGGCTTATTTTTGCTACATAATGAATTTGGATGTTTGATGATTTCCTTTCGGAATAAAGTTTTCTTATCACCTTATTATAAAATAAGCCTTGTTTCATCATGACTATGGTAGTTACTTATGTAAATTTTAAAATTCTTTTAGAAATTAAAAACAGGAGATTGGACATTAGTACATTATTAAATTGAGCAAACATAATTTGAAATGAGCTTATAAGGATTCAGTTGTTTATTCATCTCATTGTGTATCTTTCTACCTTGAATTATGTTTAGCTGGGACTGGAAAATGGAAGTTTGAGGGAGTCTCTGAGTAATTTAACTTTTAAGAAGAGTTTTCACAAAGGAGCTCATTATTTGATAATACAGTACTAGAGCTTCATAAAGAAATACATTCTGGACTGCAGCAGTTTGAAAATTAGGGGTGGCAAAAGTGCTTTGCATGCCAGACTGCTTGCTGTCATCATCAAATGAGAACATTTTCCAGATATGTAAGTATATTTTCTCTGGGTGCCAGTTTTTTTGGTGCAGCCAGGTGCATTTGGGCTACACTCTCAACAGCATGTAAATTCACCTTTTCATCTGCTCCAAGTAGAAAATGCTTTTTCATAAAATGAGGATAAATTTAAAAAAAAGTAGGTTCATATCTTTTACAGTACCGAGAATCCATTATCCGTTCACCAAAATGAGTTGGATGTGAACAGCATAGTCGGAAGGAAAAGAGTCAACATCCTTCAAGGTCTTACATTTACTGCTGACTTGATAAGGTCTGTCACTCACACAAAAGGAAGTAAATCACAACTCAATTTTTATTTAGAGCTTCAAGAATATGATCTTGGTATATTTGGGATGGAATCCCATGAGGATATTGGGAAAGGAGTTGTTGGAAGACCCTTGCTTCCACAGCACCATGATGCCATGCTCGAGTCCAGAAATTCTCAAGATTTTCTTGAAGGGTCACCGAGGAATGGGGTGGAGGGCAAGCCAGGTGGGAAGCTGGTAAAGGTCTCCATGCAAACTTCTCCAGGTCCCCATGCAAGTGCTCACACAGAAAACATTCAAATGCACCAAAGAATAAAGATCCAGTTTCATCAATGTTCCAAGTTCGTCCTTCCATAGCTTGAATCAAGCCAGAATTGGAGATCCTTCCTTCAATCTTATGGCTCAAATATTCCTCATATGCTGAATGGTTCTCATTTAGGTACTTCAAGTAATTTCCTAATTCCTGTATAGAAGAAAAATCCTCTCGGAGAATGGCAGACATCTTGTTAGGTAGCCAGTCCTATTAGAAACAAAAGTGAAGATAAAAACAAATGATTCCATAATAAGCTTGATAAGAGAAACTCAAGTAATGCAATTGCAAAGGTATTGTAATCATAGGTTTTTTGCTGCTGATGATGATTTTGTGGGCCCACTTTTCTCTGGGAGACAATCACCACTGAGCATGCCCAAATTGTCTCCTAGCCATTACATGCTTGCCTTTTTGGGATATGAGGACTGAGCATAGGTGGGAAATAAAATTTGGTCATTTTGTTAATCTGAGGAGATTGAAAATTCAATATTATCTTGACAGGATATTAATATTTCCATTGCTACTGGGTTAGTTGCATTCCTGTTCATGGTCTCCATTAAGTAAACTGGAGTCAGATCCATATCAAAAAGCAGGTTATAAAGAAGACCAATAAGACCAGTCAAGAAGTGAACTTCTTTGAGAGTAGTTCTCTTATGCTTGCAACAATGAGTTGTAAATCCATCACTGGCTATGACAACTGAAGTTGAGGTTGAGTCTTGTAGCTCTTTTGGATTGAACCCAGCTGATATTCAAGAAAATAGTCAACCATCAAACACTTGCATAGCACTACCTATAGACCTAGCTCCAGGAGTACACCCTGTTACCCCACATCCAACAGAGGTTAACAAATTTCTGCTATTAGACATTGGCATTCCATAATGGTTTTGCAGAGGCCCATAGGAATGATTAGATTCAATAAACTAGTCTTGAAACTAACTTATTTAAAGCTTAGATGATTCCTACTAACTGAAGATAATCAGAATTTAGGTTTGAGCTAAACTGAGTTTAATACATACTATAATTACAACTAAACTGAAATACTCACACGGACAGATGGTGAGCCAAAGTAGATAGGGACAGAGCCAACAATTAGAGGACGCCAAAGTTTCTCTGTCAAGTAGTCTTCACATGGATAGTTTTCAATGCTCACATGGAACTTGTACCTTCCCAAAATGGTGAGAAGCTCTGGTGACATCACTCCACTCTCCATACCTTCCAGACTGACAAAATTGACAATTCCTGCAAATCCTTCAATGGAATTCTTGTTTAAAAGAAAGTGGAAAAAGAAAAAAACGTGTTTGGCAGAAACTAGGCAAAAGGAATATTAGAGTAACTATTTACATTTTATGGTGTTCTCATCAGCAACAAGTTACTTTGCAGGAGCTAATAGCATAACCAGTGACTACATGGAGTTTTAAAAAATTGTGTCTGATAGTCTTTTTAACAATATCATCTAAGTAAGATGACAGTAATCTTTATTTTATTGGCCAATTTGTCAAATTCTACATGTGAATATATTGTATATAAGATGGTTTGAGCTGAATTTGAAGGAAATTGACCCATTATATCATGTGCCACACTGTTTCAAACTTGAAGGATAAAAAATGCATGGAACATCCTTGCTGATGCATTTACCTTAGCCAGTGCAATGGGCTGTTGAAGAAGTGGGAGCACTTATTTCAAGCAAAATGGATAATCCACGGAGTTACTGAATGCAGAGGATGATATCTCAAGACATTGGTATATCCATTTAAACAGTCAATTGAATCATCAAGGAATATTTCAGGCAAATATGCTTTAAAAAAAACAAACAAAATATGGCTACTGAAAGAGTGGGGTCACCAGGAGGAGAGATCAATGGAGCCATTCTGGAATAGCAATAGTGGCTGCATGCTAGCCTCTGAGAACATGGGAGACATTTTGAACATAAACCATGACTGAAGGTATGGATATCTTTCAAATTTGGCAAAAACCTTTCATTATCTTTTCACATTCATTGATATCAAAATTGGACCTAACCAATAAAACTGTTATTTCGTTATTATCCGAAACAATTTGAGCGGTTTTTTTTCAAACACCATGTTCTTCCCAGGGAGGAAATAAATACTGTAAAGTATTATTCTCTTGACAAGTACAATTTCAACTGAAAGTGACAGGCACTTAAGGCCACATTCAACCTAGCCATAATTGAAATAACTTTTTAAGCTAACTTTCATCAAATATAACCCTTCCCTGCCAACAGAGCTGCTATGGAGTGCCTATAGATGTAAAGTCTGACACTTTCACCTGCAAGAGATGTTGAATTCCTGGTGTTAGCTTTGAGTACCTTTAAAGTTTGGCTTACACATACAAGAAGCTCTACACTTGCATATGTACACCAGCCCCATAAGCTATGTTGAAATAATGAATAATGTTGAAGTCACTGTCATCCATTAAAATATTGTTGGAATAAACATCACTTCTAAGTCATCAGAGCTTGGGAAAATTAAGTTGTACCAGTAACTAGTTACTCTTGGTGAGGAATACTTTTAAAAGTAGCTTTTTAAATTTCATAAATAATAAGCCTAATACTGGATAACCCCTCCCCCCCCTTTTCTAAGCCCTTCAAATTCACCTGGGAGGCAATTTCTTGTTGTTGAGACAGGAGCCCAGGGAGTCAATGGGAATGAAAGACTGAAGCTCAGAAACAAAGGCTTCTCGTTCACTTGGGGTATCACAGTCAGAGCTGAGAAATACAACTGGGGACAAATCACCTCCATTCAGAAGAGAAGACTTCTCCTTGACCTCAACATAATAGTCTCTTCCTGTCAAAAACATTCATGAGATGACTTGATATGCTCAAACTCTTCTACCCAAATAAGGATCCTATAACTCAGGTCTCAATACAGTAGTTCTTTCATTAGATTTGAAGAGAATGATGGAAAGTGACACATTGTGTACAGAAGCTTATAGAAAATTCTTCTGTTAGACCATTCCTAAACTAATACATTTTGAAATACTAATCTACTAGTGTGAAGTTCAGGCATACATGGATGACCTTATGCAGACACATGCACTTCTCATGCATTGATAGGGGAGAAAACTGGGAAGGAAAGAAAAGCATGAAAGAGGAGCATGAAAGAGGGGATATAAATGAGATTTTGTGAAGAGGTATGGCAAAAGCACACACCAATGAGGTCTTGGAGTGATGAAAGGCTCTGAAGAGTGAGAGGGAAATCTGAATGTCTGCTGAATGTTGCAGATGCATTGAAGACACTTAGGACTTGTATATGGCTGAGCATGAAGACATTTTTGGGGCTTTCCTCGTGGATCAAGGCCCACCTGTGATCTTGCTCTCGAGGAAGGGGAAGGTCTGATACATTCCAATGGGACCCATAAAACACCACCACCTAAGAACAGGTACATGTTGAAAAGGGCTGCATAATTCAAAACGAGAAACCTCCCCAAGACTGGCATATTTTTTGCAGGCAAAATGGCCATGGGCAGTAAATTATGTACAAAAGTCACATGCACATTTGGTTGTTCCACTATCTCACAGCAGACACAGAACACTGCACAAGCACAATCAGGAAGGGTGCAAGCATGGTGAAAAAATGTGTGGAATGGAATGAAGTAGCGGAGTTCCTGAGACAGTTAAGGGGAGAGAAAGGATTGTAGTCATTCTTGTTTTTGCAGAGCTCACCATGCATGCACATTCTAGTCATTGTGTGAACAACACTGGAATGCATCAAAACAAATGAAAAACTGCACTGTAAAGGGTATTTTTATACTGTAGAAAAATGAAGTGATGAGAAGATAGGATGTCAATGTCAGCTGCAAAACTGTACAGGTAGGGCTCAATCAAGAAATGATTAAGTGGTCAAGTTACCCACTGAGCACAACCATATACCCAGTTCTGATCATGTCCAAGTGGTGAAGGCAGTTGCGAAGATGAAAGCTGCTGCTTGACATTTTCAGGAACCTGCAGAATTGTGCATGCTCCTTCTCATAAACTGCTTCATACTATTACTGGACAAGTCACATCCTCATGAATTTTGGCAATAATGGCTTGGCAGGAGAAAGAGGACGAAGACACTGCAGCTGGAATATGTGCAACAGTAATAAATGAAGAGGCATTCCTGCATGTCTCTGATCCTGATGACCTCAAAGTATTTGCAACTGATGTGCAGGTGCTGCCCATTTGATCCCATTGGTTTTCTGATGGAACATTTCAAGTAAACTAAGACAATGGTAGCATTTAATGGGATTATAAAAGCATCATGCATAGAACAAGGCCATTAGGCTCTGGAAGTTGAATGTCTTCTCAGGGAGCAAATGAAGAAGTTGTGGAACTTGATTCCCGGTCTTCCCCTGCCTTTTTTTTTTCCTCTCATGTCATCCAACTCTCCCCTCCCAGCCACCTGCATTACAGTACCTTGGGGTAATACCATTGTTGGATCATTACAGTAGTATAGTAATATTTTTTTTGATCAAGTTTTCATCAAAAATATGTTTCAAAACAATAAAAACATTTTACCAAGAAGTTTTTTAACTCCAAAATAGCTTAGAAATAATTTAAAGCATTTAAAAAAAATAAAGGAAAAAAAAAGGAAAAGGGGTCCGTGCACATTTTGCAACACCCAAGATTGGTAACTTATAGGAAACTATATGTTCTCCAATTTGTCGTGTATGAAATATTGAAATATTGAATTTCCCTAGGCAATGCTGGGTACTTCAGCTAGTATTTATATAACTGCAAAAATGGCACAAAAGAGCACCACACCACTAAATCACCCAACATTGCACTAAATTGTGAAGCAGCACACGAAAAGCTTAGCCACAGCAGACAACACGACTAAATGTAGGAGAAAAGTGATGGGATCCCATAGCTGGCTAACCAACACAACTGACTCAAAAAAGTAAGGCAAAGGAATTTAAAAAGAGAAGAATGAAAGGAAAGGAGCCTTTGGGATCTGAAAGAATAGCATGATCCTCATCAGGGGCACAGTCCTACTCAAACCTTCAGTGCAGAGATCATTTCGGAAATCCCACAAGAGCCAAAATAAGCTAGAAGAAAATGAAAGAGTATTTTGTTGATTGAAAGAAACCACAGATTAAGTCACTGTCAAAATCACCACAAATGCACACTCCATTAGCTAGAGAATGATTACGCTCATGCAGCAAGAAGGCAACCAGTGTAAAGTGTCCTGTGAAAATGGAATTAACGATACTCAGGAGAGCAGACAACCTCTAACTGACAGCTATGAAGAAATTAAGCTCTAGTGGGATCCGTGCCTGAAAGATCTATCCACAATCCATGACTTGATAAGAAAAGGGTGGAGAAAGAGAAAATTCCACAAAACTGGAAAAATTCACTGGGTAAATTGGATCAAGTGTTGCAATCCAAGCCTGTGGATGTAAACCAAAGCCAACTGTTTTAACTGTCCCCTGATCAACAGAATAAATAAGAAAGGGAAGGAGAATGCAGTGGAACATGAGAGACACGGTTGACCACAAAAGGCAAATGGCCTATGTCCACTCCCTGGAATCTGTCCTAGACCAGACTAACCCAGGCCTATGACTCAGAGGCTAGCCCTAATCCCAGAGTGGAAGCAGGCCATCCAGTAGACTGACTAGCAGAAAACAAAAGGTTCGTTTGAGAAAGAAATGCCAAACTTCTGCAAAATAATGAGATAGAGTTTTTTTTGAAGAGACCAAATTGTTTCTTCGAAAACCAATCTGCATATCCATTATTTTCTAATTATCATGTAAAAGACCACTGTTAAATACAAAGTCATCCTTGTGACTGCAGATCTGCAAGTATCTATTTAATTGTGATTTGATGATATTATTGATAATATGCTTAGAGATATTTTACCTATGAATTGGCATGTTAGCAATTTCGAAGGAAAAGTCTCTTCTTTTGTCATAAATTTGAATGGAAAACTTAGAATCTGTAATATTAAGGTTGAGATCCAAGTAATGAGTGGATCTGAATGGGGGTGAGGTAGTTTCCTGCACCTCCATGCAATCTGGATATATAGATGTAATTTCACTCTTGATGGAGTTATTGAGTGCCAACAATTACCAATATACCAAAAGGTAAAGGTATATGCCTGTGGAGAAGAGGTGTTTTTTTAGGAAGTTTCGCTCATAGAAGAAAAGAAAAAGATGGAAAAGAAAAGATTGAAAAGAAAAACATAACTACTCCCCATGGGGATTCTGATGTCTTGCTGAAACACCTTAATAACCATGAGAATAAAATTACTCTGTAGGCTCACTTTAAGGATATTTGAAAAGAATTCCACACCAATGTAGTAATCATTACTACAGTAATGTAGTAAAGTTAACTACAGCCCATAGGTAAAAATTCTTGAAACAGATCTACCAGCATTTTATGCAGAAGGTCCATGGGGATTTTCGTATAAAGGGTGGTAAAGTCCCAAGAATGTACTGTCTGCACTTCTTCAGCTATATTGATTTTGCTTATAGTGTTAACCACAGCTTTATTGCTGGCAATAATCCAGGACTCATGGGAGAATTTACAGCCATGATGGACTTCTTTTAAAAGAGCATCCAAGAACTTGTTGATGGCAAGTGACTTATTCTGGATGCAGGTATAGACTGAGCTGGTTATGAATCTGAATTGAGTGTGCGTTTTATGAAATTTAGGATATGCAAACAAAAACGGGACTGTGGAACATTCTGAGTCGAAGGGAATATCAAATTCTGAGCAAGCATTGATGACTTTGTTTACTGTAACTGGTATAGTTAGAGAGGTTGCTTTAAATGTCAGACTGTTTACAATATCCTCTTTCAAGATTCTGCCATAAAAACGTTTGCAAATGAAGGCAAAATTGTTTGAGGCTTTGCCAATGGTCACAGAGACAAACCTGTCCTGAACCTCTCTGAGAAGAGGCTTAAATTCTCTAAGAGGAAGGTCCAAAGAGCCTTTCTTATTAAGGATATTGAATGACATGATGCATTCTGAAAGAGATTTAAGACGCTTATTTCTCCATGGAATTAAGGCAGCAGATAGGTATGAAGTTCTGAAGGAAATTCCAGACACATATCTTTGAACTGCTGATGTAACATCATCTAGAAACATCCCTTTACTCATTTTATGGTTAAAACGATATTTACCCCGCCCCTCTTTGAAGATGTGAAAAAGCCTTTTATTCTGAAGAGTATGAAGATTTCCAGTCATAATATGCTGATGGTGTTCACTTAAATAGGATTTGAATTCAGGAAGATCACAATGACAGGAAAGATCTTCAATTTTGTCGAGGTCTATGGTTTCAACAAATTTCCTATAGTTGCAAACAATTACTTTCAATGGCTTAGAGAGTTTGTAGGAAATGGAGGGGCATGTTGATTTAAGAGGAAATTCCTCCTTTAGTTCAGAGGCCCTGAGAACTGCTTTAAGATTAAAAAGTTCAACAGTCTTATTGGGAAAAGGAAAAATCGGGAAACTTTTGAAGTTGTTAGAATTGCTTAGTCTACGATCTTCGTTGTGAGATAGGCCAAGTTTGAATTTACAGAAGTCCAGCACTATACACTCCAGGTGCGACACGGAAGTGCTAGTTACGAATACAAAGCTAGCCAATTGCTTTAGTTTACATCTGGTGCTTGTTAGGGGACTCTAGGTATTGCTGGACTTCAGCTGTTTGAAGACCTGCTGCTCTTACCTTAAACACCTTTACATTATAGTCCACTTGGAAGGGAGCAATAGGTACCTATCCCATGACAAAAATATCAAGAACCAAATCTCCCAATAGAGAAGGGTAACATTAATCTCACCAATTCATCCACATTATTTCTGGCTTGCCAGGTGTTAACAACTATTGGGATGATGCATATCCATTCTCAGAGTGACAAACACACTTGACTTCATGCATAAGTGAAAACATTTTTTTGTCCAAAATCATGCATAAGTTTGAAGCTGCCAGTAAATATTGTGGCTACCCACCTTGGTATTAACATTTTTGAGTAAAGCCCTATTATTCGTGACAAAGCATCGTGTTGAATGGCTGCATTCCAGGTACTCCTCAGGCACACTGCTGTATGGATGCCACCAGAGTATTATTGGCTCTCCTATTTCTTCTCTCAACTCACCTATCACAGAAAACCAGTTCACAATCAGAGTTTTCTGACACTTCTAAAGGTTTCTTATTGTGGGTGGTCTGATGCAGTGAACCATCCAACGGTACAATTTGATGGTGGGACCATGGTCTTCCACTCTGTAAAATTTCCAAATTATCATAGGTACCAGATCTAATCTTTTGACACTCACCTAAGTCACCTTGCCAATATTTGATGAAAATAGGAATAATGCCCTCCTTCTCATCCCAATTCTGAAAGTAGGACAATTTGATGAGAATGAGACAGTGGCAGAAAGTGGATGGGCTTTTGCTCTCATTCCCATAGTACAAGGTGGCCCAAAAGAAGATTCTGGCTTGGATTGAAATAACATAAATTGTAATATAGATACTAATAGATGATTGAAATTACTTTTAATGCAATTTAAAAAATCCTCAAATTTTTTTAAATCACAATCTCAAGAATGCTCTGTGTGCTGTCTGCCATGTTCATGGCAAATCTGAACATGCAAAACTACGTTTTCAATGGTAGCATGAAATGTGTCAACTGTAACCCCAGTAATGGCAAGCATTACATATCCCAATAGTATGCAATGATTTGTAGCTTGGATTTGAGCATAATGGAACTGTACACCTGGTTCCAAAAGGATGGGCCACCACCCATTCACTTAGCCAGTATAGTGCAACTTAATGATAAATTTCCACAAGGTCTCACCTCCCCAAAAAAAAAGGTAATGGCCAGTGCATTTACCAAATCTTTCCTGGATCAGACTTCTTCCTTTGGGGAACATGCAAATGACTTAGCATACAAGTCAAGACAAAGACCAGAGCAGATCTTCAAATTTGAGATCCTGTGGTGGACACAGGGTCTCTAAAGGTTCAACTTGAAATAGTGCACGCCATTGCTGGGAATATAGCCGAAACACTTCATGCTTGCATTTAAATCTCATCTTTGCATATTCTGGCATGCTGTGAACATTTCTGGCAGCACCCTAACCATGCAAAGTGATTTAAACAAATTCTTTGATCGAAGTTTTCCCAATTATTTACCAGTACTATAATTTGAATTACTTCAATTCAGAACCCAGAGTCTTTTTGTGAGCCATTCTGTGTAAAATCAATTGGGGAATGCAAAACTAGTAGATAGGAATGTCAGGTCACCTCAAGCAATGCATGTAAGATAATGCTTGAGGTGGCCATGTTGCCAAGAAGAATGATAGAACCAGAGGTTTCAATTAATAAGCTTGTAAATTAAGGAAGAAGGTGAAATTCAAGAAAAATTCTTCAACCTAATATTATCTGAGTTCCTCATCCTAAGCAGATTCTCGGGGAAAGTCTGCCATATTTGACTGGGCAGGAGGAGAATATGGCAGAAAACAGCAACCATACTGGGTGGTACATGACCTCTCTCTCCCTCCTATTAATGAATTAAGCAAACTTCAAATGAAGTTTACCTTATATCTTCCACACTTATCAGTCTAGGTCACATCATGAGTGCTAAAATGGCAGGTGTCACCAAAAGAAAATTAGTAGGAAAGGCACAGTGAGAGAATTCATGCATTGCCTTTGAATTCAATGCTTTTCTTCCATGAAGTGACATGCAATGGATTCCATCATGATATGAAGTGGAGGCTTTCTTCTTCAGTCACTTAAGCCACCAGCCAATTTAGCTGTGAATTACAGGACTGAGAAAATTTTGATTCAGATTAAGTGGAACTTGAAATATGCTCAGTTTCACTCATAGGAGGGAAAGGTCAATTGATATCCTGTGTGGGTGTTGCTTCATGCAATGTTCTCTTTAGATTCATAATTACTGGAGAAAGAGATTAAAAAAAAAAAAGGTATAGGTATGTTAAGTAATGCATTCGATGCTGAGCTGAGGAATTTGACTTGCACCTTCTCCTCACTAAGCCCATATGCTTTAGGCTTATTAGATACATTTTGTTCCATGATTCAGCCCTCAAAATGAGTGAATGGATAAAGGAGGTCTGAGTCATTTGACCCAGATGAGTGTGGACAGGCTTATTCAAGACATCATATATAAGAAGTTACATAATTATGAAATTAGTTTAAAATTATATTTAAGACTCACCAAAAGTAAACCTAATCTGCCTCTCAGAAAATTATCATGAAGAAAAAAGGTTTAATTTAACATAAACTTTCAGTTCTGGGTCAAGCAACATTTATGAAAAATCAGCAAAATTTTTTCTTGCTGAACAAGTGAAGAGGCAGTTCTGCCTAAACCATAAGAATGTTTGTAGTTCTTGCCAGAAAAGAAGAAAAGTTTCATTGTTTTTCCCTACTCAACTATTGATTATTAAAAGACAAAACATACTAGGACTCTAGTCAGTGAATTTGCCATACCATGAAGAGCCAGGTGAGTAAGGCTAGACCACAAGGAATGAAGAACCACAGTGTACTTGAGAACTGCATTTGTGAAACATGCCTCAATAGGAAGGGAAGAGCAATCTGTGATATACAATCATCACCTGCATAAAAATTCAGACAGGAAAATCTCAGATGAAGGTAAATCAAAGTAAAATAAGGAAGCAATGAAAGCTTTGAGAAATAACTGAAAATAACCTTTCTCTTCATTTTCTGAGGCACTTCCACCATTTTCCAAATGTGATTTTCATAAGCTTTGGAAAATTGCTCTTCTTCATCACTTGATTCTTTTCTATCACAGTCACATGGGCTGCTGTCACCTTCCCCAACTCTTCTAGGGTGAGTCTTTTGACATCTGTGATTGCAAAATTTGTGTTCAGTGACAAAAGCCCACAAGGCTGCAATCAAAAGAATCAAGTGATGAAGGAAGAAGAGCAATTTTCTAAAGCTTATGAAAATAAAAATTTGGAAAATGAAGATGATGACTCAGAATAATAACAAAAAATATAGCATTTTTTATTGCCTTTTCCAATGTGTGGTTTTCTTGGGCTGAGAGGTGGGGGTTGGGGAAGGAGGGAGAAAAAAAAAAAGATTTTTCTTAACTGAGACAGGGTCAATCTGAATTCCAATTGTGGTCTGTTGGTATTTGAAAGAATGTCCCCATAACAATAACTTTTCCATCATTCCTCACCTTAAAATAAGCCTTCACTGAGAATCAAGGAGAAGACATGTAAAACTAGGATCTTGCTTAGGAATGCTACCAGCCTCCTCCAAGCAAACAGATATCAGCCATATCAACTGTGCTACATCATGTCTAGTATACTGGGCAGAATATGGCACAGGATTAAGTTATACTCATTTTCCTGGCTCCATGATTTCAGGGTAGAGAATGACTCAAAACGAAAGATGCTGTACATCATTACAATGAGACCATGGAAGCAATGACACACACTCCATGCCATGCTGGAAAGGAATCCACACTCCATCTTTTTTTTCCCTATCCTTTCATCGAAGATGTCACTAGTACATACTCATCAATTCCTCTTCTAAATGCAGTGAAGTTGAATGGAGAAGTCTGATGGCATGGGTCTTTCTTCTAGCTCATGTTACCTTTTATACTGATAAATAAATGGGAAAATGAAACAAGAGAGACACGTTCTGCATCCAGAACAAATTAGAATGAACAAGAACATTGAGAAGTAGACTTAATATGAGTAGGTAGGCAAGCCTAAGGTAGGAGCCAGAGAGCAGAAAAAGTAAACTAATTTCCAACTTCACACCCATCAGAAATGCTGATACGACAGGGGGTAAATCACATGCATAATAACAACACTGTTTGTTCAAGAACTCCTCCCCTCCTCACATTTGAGAGAAATGGGCGTAAATGAAAAGTTTCAAGTCTGGGAAAGTTCAACATCCCATTCCTGTCACAATGCAAATAAAACTAAGGAAGTTAAGACTGATTTGCTGCCACAAGGGTCAGACATAAGGGACTTAGTTGATACCATGCTCAGCTCCAGTGACAGAGCATTCCAGGAATGAAAACAGAATTTTTTTGTTGTTTTTTTTTTTCCAGAGTGTAAACCTCAGCATGTCCAGAAAGGGAGATCTGAATATCTGGCACTCCCACCTTGAGATGTGGGACATGAACCCATTCATGCCCAATGATGTTCTGGCATGTAAATATTCTCATGGGCAATATCACCACAGATGCACTATTGCATACAATGTATGATGCACAATATATGGTGATGTAAAATACTTTCCATTGAAGTCTAAATGATACTGAAGCTGGCTAGTTTTTTTTTAAATTGGCATAAAAATCCCTTTGTAAAAGTGACTGGTGACCTAATGTATTTATATTAAGCAGATGGATGCAAATGGGTTTAAGAACCCCAGTGGTGGAGGCTAACCCAAGTAGCACATCCCAAGAGTAACCCATGAAAGCCTAATTTGACCTGAGGTTAGAGGTTACTTGGGTCTAAGGCTAATGTGGAGTTAGATGGGAGAGAGGGGTAGCTGGAATTGAAAGGTGTGTATGAACTAACTCTGTTTACTAAAAGCTGAACATTCTTGGAAATGATAGTGGAGTTTCAGATTCATGAAAAACTAGGTGGCCATGGTCCCTGTCCATCTGTTGAAAGTAGATTCCTAGGGTATTCCTCTAATGCAGTGTTTCCCAAACGGTGTGCCATGGCACACTGGTGTGCCGCCAATAAGGCTTAGGTGTGCCATGAGATTTGAGAGTTGATAAAAAAAAAAATAAAATAAAAACTTAAAAACAAGAAGGAACGCCACCTCTCAGTGGAAAATGAGCTGAGTTGCTCTATCACGCCTCGTATCAAACTGCTTTGTTCAGTGAAGCAAGCACAAGTTTCCCGTTGAAAGTAAGTAAATGGCTGGGTGTGCCATGGAAAGTTCAAGTGTTCTTATGTGTGCCGCAAATAAAAAAAAGATTGGGAACCGCTGCTCTAATGCATTTGAAAGCTTCCAGTCATGGCATGTCAGAAGTCTCCTCAAATACACACACTTGGGTTCCTTGTTGCTCTTCTTCACCTACAATCACATTCTTCTTAACCCAGTAAGAGGCTTATTTGATCCATGGTCGACCATATGAAGAGGACTTGCTTGAAGCATATAGGGAAATAGCTTTATGATACGGCTAAGTTATGGAGAGCATCAATAAGTGCCTGATGAGAAAGACCCTTTGACCTCCATCCATCTCTCCATGGCTAAATCTCCCACCTACTCACTTATGAGCAACAGGGAACTTTATTTACAAGCCTGTGTCACAATAGTCCATATGATCAGACCCAGAATGTGATATTAGTTTTAGTATAAGCAAGACAAAATCCTTTCATTCAGCTCTAGATAGCCTGAACTTCATGGCCAAAATGGTACCAGCCTAAAAATAGTAATTCTGTCATATGAGAGACATCAAGAAAAAAGTGAAATGACCATTGTGCTGAAATGTTCCAGCTGTCCAATTTTGTCTACAGGTGTCCTAGCTAAATCTCAGCTGAATTCCTTTCTTTGGATGGGATAGATACATGGAAAAAGGATCCTTCAAACACAAGGAGCTGCTTTGGTGCAGAATTCTCCTAAGGATATTGAAGGGCAGCTTATTTAAGCTAATGGTACAGATGCTGCTCCCATTCTGTTCTCCCCAGCCTGGCATTTTGTAATTCAAGGAAACAAGGACCATCATTCAGGAGAAGTTAACAGGAGCAGTTCAAGCCAATAACAATTTCTGGAAAGGGACCTTAAAATGTGAGTTGGCAAGGGGACAAAATACTTAATGTTGAGTTTAAGGAGAGGGGCTAAGCCTCCCACACTGAGACACAACTCAGACAAAATTCCTTTTTGGTATTCCACTTCAGGAGATCTCAGAGTTCATTCTTGACCTGAAAATAGAAAACACCCCATGCTCTTGATGACATCCCAATGTTCAATCTCAAACTGTCTGCAGAATATGGACAGAGCCTTATCATGCTCATTAAAACAATTTAAATCCACAGTTTGCTCTTACCATACCTAATGATAATTTAAAAACAGTCAAACTAACTTCATTATGCTAGAAAGGCAATGAAATGAACCCTTCAAATTACAGACCAATAGAGCCCAATCTCTCCTCCCTATAATCAGTAAAATTCTGCAGACATGGCTTCATGGACTTTGCATCATTTTTTGACAGCAAAAGCCTCGTTACTCTCAGCCAACCTAGCTTTGTAAAAGTCTACTTCTGTTCTTCATTCAACTCAAATTCAATGCTGCCAAAACTTGAGTTTCACTACTGTGGCTACACTTACTCTATTACCTTTTTCCAATCATATTCACATTAGCATCAGCAAATCATCATTATTCTGCTCTCCTTATCCAACCACCCAGCAGGCATACCTCGGGGCTCCATTTTAGGACTGCTAATATTCATAAAGCATACAAATTACATGCAACTAAATCTGGATTGTTGTAAAATTAAACAATATGTTGATGATATAACTTTAAGCAGATCAAGCAACATCATCTGCCATATTCAATGGAAGCTTTAGCATGACATGGAGTTGTAGCTGAGTTTGTAAGATCATGCAATTTATTAAAAAAATTTTTGAGAGGGGTACAATATATTTTTCTGTTACTACCTAGCATTCTGCCACATGTACAAATCTCACTGATAAACATTGTATATCCCAGCTGGAGGGTGGGATTGTTGGAGATGCAACTGCAAATTCATATTCCCTCAGTCTTCCAGTTGAGTCTTTTAAACTCTCAAAGTTATGAGATGAGTAATAGTGAGCAATCAAAACAGTGGTTGTTTTTGATCAGTAGCAATAGTAGCTCATCGATGGTGGCAGGATTCTGGGCCTACTCTACCTTCATTGACTACTACTGCTATAGACTGCAAGTTGTCACTGAAAACAGATACTTTTATTGGAAAAAGTAACTAGTAACTAATTACATTTTTTGGAAAGGAATAATAAAGGTAAGGAGTTACCATCTATTGCATAAAAGTTGCAATACAGTCAATGCTCAATATAGCAAACTCAAAAGGCACAGGAAAGGGACATATTTTTATAAATACAAGGGAGGGTGCAAAAGCAGTGGCAATTCTGCTCTACAGTGGTGTACACTTGTCCTATGGCACAGAGGCATGAATATGACTCATAGGGTAGGAGAAGGGGTTTTAGACTATGTGGCCAATCCAATCACTACCACATGTCACTTTACCACATAGCTCAAATTTATTATAAACTGTTATTCCAAAATTACCACTATTTTTGCAACCCCCCCCTTGTAGATTGAGAAGCAGGCATGGTCAAAGGATGTAGCTTTGTCTTGTCCATCTCCATCATATATTCACATGTCAATTATATCTTGTTTTGTTCATTTCACTTGTTTTGGATTACATGAACAGAAGTGCCACTGCTAACAGATTGATGCTGACTAGTGCACTAGGAGGGCCAAGGATTTTTATCACCTTTTGGTAACATCTTCTATGGGTAACCTCTCATCTGGGGCTGTATAAAAGACAGAAGAAACCCTTTCTACTATCCCGAGTCATTGTACCTGCCTCTGTGCCATAATACATGTGTACACTACTGTAAAGCAGAATTGCCACTACTTTTGCTCCCTTC